AGAGAGGAAAAATGAAACTGAATGAAATTACTGCAACCAGCACACACTTTTAAATAATAATTTAAAATATTAATGGCCTCAATTCTCCAATCAAAAGGCAGGGTGGCTAAATGGAATGAAATTCACCCTTCTGTAGTCTATAAGAAACTTAGTTTTGAAAGACAGATGCCACCCTAAAGTGAAAGAAGAGCAAGCAGAGATACACTCAGATGTGACCGGGACAATACGTACTGCTGTGTAGTAGTTGGCAAATTGAGGTGCATGTGTTTGACATTGTCTTCAAATACTGCATGGCTGGAGTTACATGTACTGATGCTTAGGGCTTTGGCTTTCTTCTGTTGGTCTACATACCTGGTTTTGTTCCAGGATCATGCTATTTTAGTTATGTAGCTCTCTAATATATCTTGAAATCTAGCTCTCTAATATATCTTGAAATCTAGAATGGTAATCCCTCCAGCAACGGTCTTTTTGCTCAGTATTGTGTTGGCCATCCAGGGCCTTTTTGGTTACATATGAATTTTAAGATAAAGTTTTTTTTTTCCTACTCCTGAGAAGAATGAGATGGGGGTTTTGACTGGAATTGCATTATATCTGTAAATAGCTTTTGGTCGGTGGTTATTTTCATAATACCAGTTCTAGCAATCTGTGTGCACGTGAGGTCTTTACATTTTCTAATGTCGTGCTCTTTCTTCAGTGATTCAAGGTTTTTATTGTCTTTAATAATTTTAGTTAGGTTTATTCCCAGACATTTTATTTCTTTTGAGGTTATTGTGAACGGGAGTGTCCATGATCTCTTTCTTTGTATATTTGTTGGCAGTGGATAGAAACCCTTTTGGGCCAGGCAGTGGTGGCACTCACTTTTGATCTCAGCACTTTGGAGGCAGAGGCAGGCAGAACTCTATGAGTTCAAGGCCAGCCTGGTCTATAAGAGCTAGTTCCAGAATAGGTTCCAAAAGCTACAGAGAAACCCTGTCTTGGGGGAAAAAAGCAAAGAAACCCTTTTGGTTATTCTAAGTTAATTCTATAGCCTGTCATTTTGCTGAAATTGCTGATCATTTCTAGAAATGTTCCTGTAGAATTTGGAGACCTGTTAGGTGTAATATATCACCTGTAAATAGAGATATTTTGGCTTTTCCTTTTCCTATTTGTATCCCTTTAGTTTCCCTCTGCTGCCTTTTTGCTCAATCTAGTGCTTGGAGCACAATATTGAAAAGAAATGGACATAGTGGGCAGCCTGTCTCACTCCTGATTTCAATGATATTTTTTTCAAGGGTTACTCCATTTAATAGAAGTTGGCTGTGGGTTTTTTGTATATACCCTTTATCATGTTGAGAGGTGTTCCATTCAGTCCTACTGTCTAGGACTTTTTTTTAGCATGAAGGCATGTTGAATCTTGCCAGGGACATTCTTCAACTATAGAGATGACCGTGTGGCTTTTGTCTTTAAGTCCATTTATGTAACTATTTTATTTATTGACTTGTGTACATTTAACTATCCCTGCATCATTGGGATAAAATGAAGAGGGCTGTAGTGGATAATCTTATTGATATATTCCTGTGTTCACTTTGCAAGTACTTTAATGAGGATTTTTAGATCTATGTTCATCAGGGATATTGGCCCATAGATTGCTTGCTTTCTTCCTTTCTTCCTTTCTTTCTTCCTTCCTTCCTTCCTTCCTTCCTTCCTTCCTTCCTTCCTTCCTTCCTTCCTTCCTTCCTTTCTTCCTTCCTTCCTTCTTTCCTTCCTTCCTTCCTTTCCCTTTTTTCCTTTTTTCCTTGGCTTGGGTATGAGAACAATACTGGCTTTGTAGAAAGAATTTGGGAGTGCTCCTTCTGTTTCTATTTCTTTGAATAACTTCAGAAGGATTGGCCACAAATTGTCGGAAATCTGAGTAGAAATTTGTGATGAGTACATTTGACCTTGGCCTTTCCTTAGATGGAAGGCTTTCTATTGCCGTTTCAATCTCCTTATTTGCCATGGTTTGTTTACATTGTTGAGTTCTTCTTGATTTTACTTTGGTAGTTTGAATAAATCTAGAAATTTGTGCATTTCTTTTACATCTTCAAACTTAATGAGTTACAGGGTTTTAAAAAGCATTCTTTTACAATATTTTGAATTTTTTGATGTCTTTTGTAGTGTTTCCCTATTTATTTATGATTCTGTTGACTGGAGTCATGTCTTTATTTTGGTCAGTTGGGTCAAGAGTCTGTCAGTCCTGTTTGTCTTCTCAAAGAACCAGCTTTTAGATTCATCAATTCATTGTATTTTTGTTTAACAAACCTTAATACCAGATATGAGAAATCCCCTTTCTTGAGGCAATATGAAACACCTACTCACCCCTGACAGGATACTAGGGACAGACCAAAGAAATTATTTCACCCAAGCTAGATTCTTGAGTCTCCTGGAGTCACCTCCAGAGGTGTGGTTAACCCAAGCAGTTGTGGAGAAGCTCGGCCCAGCGAGGGTGAAGACCCATGAAAACACCATCTATGGGCTCCTTGCACAACTTCCAGGCAGTGCAACTGCGTCTCCCTCCTCCAGCATTTGCTAAAGTTTACACAGTCTCGTCAAGGGGCTTTGTGGAAACTTCTAGGAGCTCCCGAAGGGCAAGTCAGAGAATTGTTTAGAAGCCTTGTACTGAGGTTATGTGTTTGCTTCTTACAGGAACATGTGTTAGGGGTTCTGGAACTCATTTATATGGATACTAGTGTTGACCAAATAAACAAAAAAATTGCAAGTTATCAGAACTAGGCCTCTCAGAGCAGAAGAATGAAGCTTGTTTTGAAAGGTAGGAAACCTAGAATGAGTCCTATGAAGACCCAGTCTTGAGTGACTGTGGGGTTTGCAGGGCTGGAGGGATTTTTCTGTCAAGACTTCATCTTCAGCTTTCAGCTCTACATGCAATCAGGCCACAGAGGCATCTGTCTCCACTTGCCAGCCTCTTTACAAGTAGCATCTTTTTCTTAGTCATTCATCGAGGACTTCTCATGTGGCAAGTGTCGTACTGATTATTTAATTGTATCTACATTGTCATAACAATCAAATGTGGAAGTGTGTGTGTGTATGCATATGTATGTGTGTATGCATGTCTGTCTCTGTGTGTGCGCGTGTGTGTGAGGGGTTGGTGGTTTAGAAGCTTTCCCAACAACTCGGATCCAGAAAATAGGAAAGCAAGGACCGACTTACTAAACGCATGTAAGTTCACTTGCCTGATAGCATGCTTCTTGTCCTACTTTGCTTTCCATTGCTCTGATAGGCACCTGGGGATGAGAGGGTTTGTTTGACATATGTTTCCTAATCACAATCTATCATTGAGCGAAGGCAAGGCAGGTACTGAAGCAGAGGTCACAGAGGAATATGACTTACTGACTTGCTCCCCATAGTATTCTCAGCTTGATTTTTTTTATATAATGCAGGACCCCCTGCCTAGGGGTGGCACTGCCCATGGTGGACCAGGCCTTCCCATAGTAAGACAATGCCCCACAGACTTGTCTCTAGGCCAATCTGGAGGAGACTATTCCTCAAGCGAGGTCCCTTCCTCTCAGCTGACTCTTGTTTGTGTCAAGTTGGCTAAAAGTCATGTCCATTCTCTCAGAACACTTCTCAGGGTGGGTACAAGGGCTTTGGTGTTATAAAAACTGGATCAGATAATAGATGGGGACAGGAGTTCTGGGCCTTGTTTCTTCAGGGAACTAGAAAACAATCGTGAGATTGGCGATTACAATATGCCTCCTTGAATTACGAAGCTGGGCATACAAAAGTTGAATACGTGTTTACCGAAGCTACAGCCCTTCTTCAGCTGTATACACTGTAAAGGTGGGTTATTTTCCTCTCGTTATGGCTGCCTGGGAGATTCGCTCTCTGCCACAGGGAGCAATGCATTTCTCTTGGAAGATCGAAATTCAGAACCTGAAGTGTGGTTTACGAAATGATATTGTTTTTACATCATTAAGAGTAAAAAATTGATAAGTAGACACGTGGTAAACTGGGATCCAATCTCTGATGTTACCCTCCCAGGCCTCCTGACAAGGTCCTAATATGCATTGTGCTCTGCTGCCACCTGCTGGTCACCTAGGAAAAGAGACAAAAGCTTCCAGTATAGGATGAATACCTGAATGGTTGCATAAATCAATGCCCAGTCACATTTTCAGATCCAGTCTCCTGCTTAACCCATCACATCGACCCTTATTTAACTAGAAATCATATTTCTTTCTGTTGGGGGAGGCTGCTCCGTTTGTTCCTGGAAGCCCAGATTTGAAATAACCTCATAGAAACTCTATTCAATCACTCCTTGGCCTATAAGCTCTAGTTTCTTTCTTTTTTTTTTAAATTTACTTATTTATTTATTTATAAGAATTTCCACTTCCTCCCCTCCTCCCAGTACCCTCCCGCTCCCCCCACTCCCTCTCCTCCTCCCTCTCCAGTCCCAAGAGCAGTCAGGGTTTCCTGCCCTGTGGGAAACCCAAGTTCTTCCCCTTTCCCTCCAGGTCCAGGAAGGTGAGCATCCAAACAGGCCAGGATCCCAAAAAGCCAGTCCATGCAGATGAAACAAGACCCAGTGCCATTGTCAATGGCTTCTCAGTCTTCATTTGGACCTTGGGGACTCAGTCTGCCCCCATGTCAACCACATTCAGAGAATCCGGTTTGATCACATGCTCGTTCAGTCCCAGTTCAGCTGGCCTTGCTGAGCTCTCATTCGATCAGTCCCCTTGTATCAGTGGGTGAACGCACCCCTCGCGGTCCTGATTTCCTTGTTCATGTTCTCCCTCCTTCTGTTCCTCATTTGGACCTTGGGGGCTTAAGCTCTAGCTTCTTATTGGCTAGCTCTTACATCTTAAATTAACCCAATTTCCCATTATTTTATGTTTTACCATGAGGCTCGTGGTTTACTGGCAAGGTTCTGGCACGGCTCACATCTTTCTAGATGCTACATGGCCTCTCCCTGACTCTGTTTACTCTCTTTATATCTTTTCCAGCCTGGTTCTATTCTGTTAAAGCCATTGGCCAAACCAGCTTCTTTATTCATTAACCAAAAAACAGCAACACATATACAGAAGAACCTCCCATATCACCTCCCTTCCCCCAATCTTCGTGAGGGTGGCAGGTTTGAAAGTAGGGTCTTCCACTGCCTTCTGCTTGCCCTCTTGGTGAGTTAATTCTCTTTTGCAGAAGTCATCTCGGTGATCAGCACACTTTAATGTAGAGAAGATGAGTCTGCCTTGGTAAATTAACAATCACTGAGGTAGCAAGTCCAGACAGACCTTATGCCCATGGTTTACCAGTCACTCCCCACAATTGTACTCCTCGGCTGCTTTCGAAGTACGCCTTTAACCATTTCCAGGATGACTTCCCAGGGGGTCCTGGCATTTGAGCCTCTGAAAAGATGCAATAAGGTTCAGTTTTAGGGGTTGGAGCAGCTTGTGTTCACTGGGTATCTTGATATATATGACTGGATGCCTATTTTTAATTCCCTCCAGTCTGGCCATCGTTGCTATGATTGACTTTTCTAGAATATCTGACTTCTGAAACAAGCCCCGATTTGGCTGTTGTTCAGAGCAGTTCAAGTGCAAGGGCACTTGATGGTAGGGACAACCAGGGGCTCTGCTCCTTGGAGTTTCCTGGGCTTCCTTTGGTCTCTGAGACCTGGTTCTAGGCTGTGGTGCTAGGAGCATGACTGTCACAGCTTTGATCTCTGAGACCTGGTTCTAGCCACAGTGTGAGGAGTATGGCTGTGCATTTCTGAATAGCCACATGGGAATTCCACGCCATCAGAAATGCTGATTCCACCTGCTGGGCCACTCACTGAGCCACAGTCTCTGAGCCAGGCAATTCCGGTCTGGTCTGCCATGGCTGTCATCAGGAGGGATGTGGTCCCTGCTTTGTTCTGCAGGTTCTTCTGCACTCGCTAGCACTTTATGGCCATTTCCTGGTGAATTCATGGTGGGCTCTGCACACTTTTAAATTATCTTTAAGATAATCCCCACTTTACAGTTCCAGGTTTTGAGCCCTGCCTGTTTGAATTCGTTGACCCTTTACTTGAACAGTTACTTAAGCCAGTTCTATCTATTGTATGAGCATCCAGGAGGTAATTCCCTAATTCACTTAATGACCAAGAAAGGGAAAACCAAAACTAAACCAAAACCCGTGAAGCTGATCCATACATGACGACATTCATTCACAGCCTATATAAGACTTGTGAATGAAGATGTCAAAGTTTTACTGTTTGAACATGCGGCCTTTACTCTTATAGATTGGTTGGTAAAATAAAAAGATTACTTCAACATTGTCAGCATTCTCCTGCGAAGAAGACGGGATCCTTAATGGGATCCCTAGTGGTCTATTATTTAGGACCTGAGTTCACCTGCTGTGACCTGAGTTTGACCTCAGTCAGGGAACTGTGACAAGCATGGATGACCTAGACTGAGAGATGCTGCTTCTCCCTTATAGCTTCACTTCTTTAAAAAATTAATTTTATCAAGATAATCCCTCTAACTCCTACCCATGGTGCATGACCCATGGTTCACTACCCAGGATGCACCACCCAGGATGTACCACCTATACCATACCACCCAGGATGCACCACCCACAGCACTGCCCATGGTGAACCACCCAGACTGCACCACCCAGGGTGAACCACCCATGGCACACCACCCACGGCACACCACCCACGGTGCACCACCCACGGCGCACCACCCACGGCGCACCACCCACGGCGCACCGCCCACATTACATCAGGAGTCATCTCCTTGGCTTTCACTGCTTTATGCTGTCCCCTCCATGCTGACATATCTAGGTGTGGAGGAGGAGCCCCAAGGCCAGGGAAAGCAGAACAATGGGAAAACTGCTTGACTACAGATTTGAGTATCCTTCTGTCGCGAGCCCTATTCCTGAGCGGGCATTCTGCCCTTACTTAGAGGTCTGCAAGTAAATACTCAGGATGACCACAGTGTTTGTTCTAGGAACAAGTTTATTATGCCAATAGTCAAATCTCCAATTGTTAGCAGGTATGGGCAAACATCAAAACTATAACAATCATTTAAATCCCTAATTATTCTTATATCAAATATAAGTCTTATATCAAATATAAGTAAACATCAAACCTATAACAATCCTAGCCAATCAATCACATCACACCTTCAATCACATCACACATTCAGCAAAGGTTCCTATGTGTCCTAGGCAAGGTCTTCTATCCTATCTTACTGAGGCATTGGTGTATACAACCTGATAATGGTCCGTGGCTCTCGATGTATCAGCATCGAGATGTATCAGGCCTCTGGATCAGCAAGTCTTGATCCACAGGCAAGAGCTAGTTCTCTGGCTCTTGGACGGTCTCAGCTGTGAAGTTGCTGGTTCGTTGGATTCTCTATGACTGCTCTGACAGCATGTTTAGCAAGTCATTTTGAGAATGCCTCCTGGTCGTAAGCCTCAAGTTTTTATACTATTTGTGGCTATGGTACTTTTTTTCTTTTTAGATTAGCACACATGTCTGCTTATCATATAGTTACGTCACACTTGTTCACCAGCTCAAACTCTTATCACCACTGCACACATTGCTTCATGCTTTTTAGTTTCATTTTGTGTGTGACACCTAATATTGCGTCTAACATTTCTGGGCTTATTTTTATAAACTCATATCATTTCATTTAATATTGTCTCCTAAAACTCCTGGACTTATTTGTCCTTACAGACTCATAACATCTTCCTTATGAGATTCCAGCTTTAGGAAGACAGAATCATAGAATGAATTAAACCAGGCAGGAGTCACTTTAAAGGTTTCAGGGAGGCATTTTAAGTGTCTGCCCAGGTTGGGTGGGTATAGAAAATGCTTTTGTTCTATTCACCTATGCTGACGGTCTGAGGAAGCAGACAGAAATAAGCCTTAGTAAGGAAGGTTAAGCCTAAGGGCTGCTTAGAGCCATGAAAAGGGAATCAGAAGAGGTGACCTCTGTAGGGAGAGAACTCTGTGGAAGCTGGCGAATGAAGAATCAGAAGAATCGCTCCTCAGCCTTTCGGCTAGGATTCAGTTTGCGTCTGTTCTTATCAATTGAGTATTGATCCAAGGCCAATATATTAAATGGGTTTTTGGATCAAGGAGATGGAACAGGAGCTTGCACATTCAATCCACATATTGACCTATTATAGAACTTCTAGGAACAGTAGGAAGAAGAAAAAAACTAAATGAAAGATACAAGGCTTTTGTTTTCTGTCTATAGATTTTTCTTTTACTTTTTTTTTTTGAGACAGTATCTCACTATTATAGTCAAGGTTGATCACCAACTGTCCAGATCCTCCTGTCTCAGTCTCCCAGGAGTGGGGATTACGAGTTTGTGCTACAATGCTTAGTTTTTTTTCCTGTATTTTGAGTATGCTACTGTAATGTGCTTATTGTATTTTACACACACCTGGTGCAAAATTGATGATTTTGAAATAAAAAGTGCTCGTAAGGTATAGCCAGAATACTTTAAAATAAGACTTATTTTCTGTTTAAAAATACTTAGTTTTATTTTCTAGTGTGGAGCAGTGAAAAGGTAATCACTTCCTGTGTGTAGTACCCAAAAAGGCCAGAAGGAGGTATCAGAGCCTCTGGAACTGTGGTTACAGATCACTGTCACCCACCATGTGGGTGCTGGGAATGAACAAGTACTCTTAACCACTGTCCATCCCCAAGGCTCATTTAGCATTATTAGTTTAGCAAATGAGCAGCTGTGTCTCTCAATGAACAAAAGATGTTCACGTATCTAACAAGCTATGACAGGGAAATGACGTGCGGTGATGGCTGACTGACTTTTTTTTTAATGTCTCAAACATCCATGAGAAACTCAGATCACTGTTGGGAAGAACATAAAACACATCTTTAAATAGAGGCAATTACAGACTATAAGGATCCCACAATTGTGGTTGCTACAAGAGTCAAGGTAAACTTAGGGATTGGACAAATGAAAGGTTAAGACAGTTAAAAAGGATTTTTAAAAGAATTGATAAAATTGGCAAAACAGAAAAGAAATGAGGCCTTTCTAGAAGCTGAGCACCGGTTGTGTAGGGACACTGGTGTAACACTAGTACTTGGTCTCCAATGACTGACAGTGTTCTTTAGAGCATTTATGTGATTTAATAGGAATTTAAGAAGTTTTTCTTCACCTTTAAGTAGCCTAAAACACAGAAGCAGCGAACTTCACAGAAGCAGGACTGAGAGAGCGACCCAGGACAATTTTCCTCAAATTGTTCCACACAATAGAAACAGAAGGAACACTGCCAAACCCTTTTTATGAGGCTACAATTACCCTGATACCTACACTTGGTATTCCTACACAATGGAACTGAATCAAAGACCCAGATATTAATCCACACATATTTGAATACTTAATATTTGGCAAAGAAGCAAAAAATATCAAATGGAAAAAAAGAAAGCATATTTAACAAGTGGTGCTGGCATAACAGGAATCAACATGTAGAAGAATGAAAATAGACACATATCTGCTACATCCACGGCTGTCACGCCAGTGTAGCAGAAATGCTGACTGGACGGACTGTTGCTGTAGGATTGGGGTCTGTGCTCCCCGGAATTAATTGCCCCAGGCTGTCCCTTGGCAATCAGCTGTGGTCATGATGCCACCTGAAGTTGCTACCTGCACTGACTCGACCTTGCTGTCTTTGGCACCGATATGTTTGTCTTTTTCTTGTCTTTCTGTGATCCTTGCATATTGCCAACAGATCAGACTATTCCAGGCATTTACAAATACAAACAAGACTGCTGAAGACATTTTGAGCTCTGCCCCACTATTCATTAAAGCCTTAAAAGAAGCAGCCAGTTCTGGGAATTGGCAGGGTCATTATTAGAATAATTCCTTGATGATGTGGAGCAAAAGGAGTTAATTTTACTAGGAAAAACCTTAGAAGCTTTCTACAGGAAAACAGCATTAGGCATTTGCCTGGGAAATATGTGTAGTTGTAAACAGAAGGCCTATGAAACCTTTCTTGTGGGAAGAAAAAGACCTAACCTAAGCTGACAACATCTGAGCCTGAGAATTAAGAAGTGAGGAGAATTGAGGTCAGTGATATGGAGTGGGTTTCAGAGAGGTTCGAGACTATGTCTTTGAAATTTCCTAGCAGAAAATTTTCCCAGGGAGATAGTGGCCTTCTTCTTTCCCACCCAGAAGCACAAGGTCACTCAGCTCAAACCAGCCAGCCACCTGGTACAGGCTGATAAAGATAGCCTAGCTCAAGGGCAATAGCCTCTCTGAAGGCAAGAAAAAAAGTTTATTTTACAAAATATGAGAGAACAGAAGTCCTTGTACCCAAGTCAAAGCATTTTCAAAGATTCCTTTTGTAAACTGTTTTATGCTGTTCTTTTTTTAATGATCTGATGATGTATGCCTTTGCCAAGTTCTTTGTTTGAAAAAATATAAAAGCCTTACACTAATTGAAGTAAAGTTGCAGCAGCATTTTCAATCACATTGAGGGTGTCTGTCTGTCATTTGTTCCACGCCGATTTCTGAATTCTCCTGAGCCTTCACCCTGATTCTCCCACAGTCTGAGTGCCTCCACGAGAGTCGGTCCATGGCACATATCTATCACCATGCACAAAACTAAGTCCAAATGAATCAAAGACCTCAACATAAAGCCAGCAACACTGAACCTTATAGAAGAGAAAGTGGGAAGTACACTTGAACGCATTGGCACAGGAGACCACTTCCTAAGTATAGCCCCAGTAGCACAAACATTGAGAGAAACAATTAATAAATGGGACCTCCTGAAACTGAAAAGCTTCTGTAAAGCAAAGGACATGGTCAACAAGACAAAACGACAGCCTATAGAATGGGAAAAGATCTTCACCAATCCCTCATCAGACAGAGGTCTGATTTCCAAAACATACAATGAACTCAAGAAATTGATCATCAAAAGAAGAAATAATCCAATAAAAAATAGAGTACAGACCTAAATAGAGAACTCTCAACATAGGACACTAAAATGTCTAAAAGACACTTAAGGAAATGCTCAACATCTTTAGTCATCAGAAAAATGCAAATCAAAGCAATTCTGAGATTCCATCTTACACCTGTAAGAATGGTCAAGATCAAAAACACTGATGACAACTTATGTTGGAGAGGTTGTGGGGCAAACATAACACTCCTGCATTACTGGTGGGAGTGCAAGCTGGTACAACCCCTTTGGATATCAGTGTGGTGATTTCTCAGAAAATTAGGAAATAACCTACCTCAAGACCCAGAAATACCACTTTTGGGTATATATTGAAAGGATGCTCAATTGTGCCCCAAGGACATGTGCTCAACTATGTTCATAGCTGCTTTGTTTGTCATAGCCAGAACCTAGAAGCAAGCTAAATGCCCCTTGACCAAAGAATGGATAAGGAAAATGTAATACATTTACACAATGGAGTACTACACAGCAGAAAAAATAACAACATCTTGAAAGTTGCAGACAAATGAATGGAGCTAGACAACATCATTTTTGAGTGAGGTAACCAAGACCCAGAAAGGCAATTATCATATGTACTCACACATAAGTCACTTTTAAACATAAGGAAAGAAAAACAGCCTACAAATCACAATCCCAGAGAACCTAGACAACAATGAGGACACTAAGAGAAACCTATATGGATCTAATGTACATGTAGAAAAAGACAAGATCTCCTGAGTAAATTGGGAGCATGGGGACCATGGGAGAGTGTTGAAGGGGATGAGGGAGGCAGGGAGCGGAGCAGAGAAAAATGTAGAGCTCAATTAAAATCAATAAAAAAGAAATACAAAAGTAGCCTAGAACACAGATTCTATCCTACCTGTGCTTGGTGTATTTAAGCTTGAAAAAGGAAAGGAAGCAAAATAGAAAACCATTTGTTGTCTTCATTTTTATCTGAGTATTCTAAGCCTCTATTATATGTGACAAATTATAAAATATAAAAGTGTCTTCTTGACCTAGAATGCCTCGAATACCTCAGAAAGCCAGAAGGACATAGAGTTTGGTATTAATATTAATATAGAAGATTCCCTGGGATCCTCTGTGTCTGGGAATATGCTCTTGGTGCTAAATATTTTAGTCAATTGTGATGGCCATCAGATGCTTGGTAGTCACACCCAGAACATCCAGAGCCAGTAAGGAAATGCAACCAGTCCCCTCTAATAGTTCTCTGATCACTCACAAAAAATTGGTGTGACTATAAATGTTCCTTGTTTGTTTTTTTGTTTTGTCTTGTTTTGTTTTTTTTCGAGACACAGTCTCTCTGTGTAGCTTTGGAGCCTGTCCTGGAACTCACTCTCTAGACCGGGCTCTCCTCGAACTCACAGAGACCTGCTTGCCTCTGCCTCTGCCTCCCAAGTGCTGGGATTAAAAGTATGCACCACCGCCCCCTGACTTTGTTTTTGTTTTTTAAGAGAGGGTTTCCCTGTGTAACGGCCCCTACTGTTCTGGGATT